AACCCCGAGGGTTTAGTGGAGCCGAACTTGGCTCGAGCCGGCTCACCGAACGCGTTCACACGGCCATTTTTGCTGGCTTGAGCCGGCTCGAGCCTTTGGGCTCCGATAAAATGCTGCCGTGTGAACGTAGCAATTATCTCTTAATGTGCTCGCGTTGATTGTGACGTCGTAAATGGCATACCGAAATGAATAGATATGAATACTAATCGGTGACTAATGCTAGTAGTAAATCGGATACAGGGCGTGGTTCGTAATTTGCCATATACTTGCAGGCATTCAATCTGGTGTACAGTTTCTAACAATGAGTGGAAGTGAGAAGATGGAAAATCAACGCGATCAAACTCACACTGGAAACATGATTATAATCGGATTCTTTGTGTTCACTATCTCAATTATTGCTGTAACAATTAGTATAATTTTTGCAGTTGACATCAAAGGAGGTTGGTATACATGAATATTTTTTTTGTTAATCTGTTAAACTTGTTCACATTTTGAAAAACATCCACCTTTTAAAAATGGAAACGATCCTACAAAATAAACAATTTGACAAGAAATGTTACATTTTATGTCCACTAAATCAATGTGTTCTATGATTGTTGATATGCAACGAGAAAGGAACCGTTCGTACCAAGCGACTTGCGTCCATGTCGATTATTATTATTCAGTGGGTTTATATGCCAACGAATATCGATGCATAAAAAAATACCTCGAACTTATGTACATTTATTCAATACAGTGTTTATATATAAGTAGTTTCTTTAACTGGTTTGACAACCAATATTCTTGATAATAAATCCCCCCCGGAATTTTCCAAAAAATAACCCTGTGGAATTTTGGCGTGGTTGGTATAAACCATATGGTATAACCAAGCCGTACATTCTGCATGGTGTATCTTTGTTTTCCTACAATGCATTCATACCTACCTTGTACTTCCATCTTTAAACTATTGAGTGTAGTTGAACAATGAATTAGGTCACGAAATGATTGGTTTGTATACAAACCATTTGTCTGTCATACATTGGACAGTTGAAAGAGTTTTAAACTGAATTTCATATACTCTTAACAGTGTTCCGCTGAAAATAAATTACCCGAGATGTTGTTTCTCAAACTTTAAATAATTCAAAGTTACACATAATACAGTGCTGAACTTAAGATTTTCAACTCAAATCCGATTAAAATCTTATTAAGCTATCTTTTTTTCTTTTTTATTCTATTAATTTTTTGTTTTGTTTTATTTAGGTTATATTTTTTTACATTTATTTTCTGAATTCTAGTTTTTAATTTTCTGACTGCGTAAGTCCAAAGATCTGAACAACCTCTATAAAAGATTTCGTTCTGGAGGTTTCAAATATAACAAAATTAGACAACCAATCAGAGAAGGTCCGTATAACATGGTTATGCGTCAAAGTCCAATCATTGCCTGCTCTCTTCGGCTATCTAAGTTTGCGAGAGTTTAACGAGATCTCATAAGGAGGTATTCATAACACTGGGCTTTCTCGATCGGACTGTTAAAAAAATTAATTTCGGAATTGAAAAAAATCATAACACACCAAAAATGATCTGATTTTAATTCAATTGTATTCAACTATATTTCGTATACAGCTATATTATTACACCCATTTAATAAATAAATAATATAAATAAATCCCATTGTTAATATTTCTACAGGCATATATAGAGATACTTCGCATTGTTCACAGAATAAGATAATCATACGAATGCCTTGGAATCTACACAATGGAGGTATAGATGCGCAAGACGCAAATTCAAGCTCAGTGACGGGTATGACGTCAGAGGAGGTTTTTTCCGAAGAATTAACTACCGGGCCCACCACTTTAGAATCAGAAATATGGACTGACGAGTTTCAGACAACTGTCACCACCGAGCAGACTGCGAAATTGACATCTGAAGTGTTAACCACGACAGATAAACAGACTGACGAATATACTACCCAAGAAATCCAAGCTGGGTCTGAGCGCAATATCAGTTTATTCAATCCTGAAACGTGTCATTTGTATTTTGGAATTGGTAAGCAGTAGACTAGAATACTATGTTTTATATTCATAACATCTTACTATTAGACAAGTTGCCTTTCTTCCAGTATAATTAGTACTGCTCAAAATCGAACAAGTGAAATTTATTCACTTATTTAGGGCAAATGATTAATGAAGGTGAGAAATGTGAATAGGTGAGTTATAAACAAAATAGGCCAGGTCCATAAAATAACTTGCACATCGGATTTGTAAAACCCAATTATGTGGTTTTCGAGATCGCGAGATGATATTCTGTTACAAACTAGCGATTATCGCACTGTCATTTAATTTAGAAGCAGTAAAACTAGTTTCTTACAATTTTTGAAAAACATAATTTCGGATTCGTGGATTTGACCATGCCATGTACCCAGTGTTAATAATGCACTAGTTTTTTTTATATGTTAATATTGATATTTTATGTAAAAATAAAGCCTATTACCATGACCTTACCAGAAACAAGGTGATTCAGAAACAAGGCTATATGAGAATTATTGGTAGCATTTGTAAGCTCAAGTAGTACCGAAACCGCTAGACACGATACTTGTAGAACCCTACGAACTATGTACTACCCTAAATGTAATTTTTTCATAGTTCGACCTTCCTTGTCATGTCATGTGTCATTCATAAATTGCATATATCAATTTCCCGTCACCAATGTGCAGGTAAAGATAACATATTTGTATTAATCACTTTATTTGGCAGATGATATATTTAGCAAGGATTTAACGTGTGACCACAGAACACCGTGTAACCCATGCAGTCGACATTACTGTTGTTCTAACTATGGTTGGTGCGATCAAAGTTCTCTCCATTGTGGCTGCAGTACCTGTGTCAATTATCGAGAGGTCTATGGTGTGTAACACATATTTTTAATATACATGTCTTCTGGAGATGAGCAGGGTTACACGAATGTCATTGTGCGCAGTTCGAAATTTCTGGAGACGAAATATTAGAAGATGTTGTCTTGTTGAAATCAGAATCACATCACATTATTTTGTTCAATGTAGAAAAACACAAAACGGTTGTTTCTAACTAGATAAACTGTTTCTGTACTTTTACATGTTTGACTACTGTATCCACCAGCCATATACTTGCATTAACACTAACAGGGGAATTCTTTTTTTGTTATTACTCGTCTACATATATGCTTGATTATTTTTCCTCTTGAGTGAGTCAGCAGCATGATCTATAGGCAGAAATAATCGCAGGATATCATACTTCCAAACATATTAACAATACATTTAATTTTTTTCTCCAACAGGTATTTGTCCGTGTCAGTTTGAATGTTTTGCGTGTGGATCAATTTGAATATTTGAATATTGAATAAAGGATCGTCTGGACAGGAGATGTTTTTTGACAAATGTATGTGTCAAGATCTGGGATGGTATATGTTATCATTTGACAGTCAGTCATTGGCAACACTGTATGTTGTCAAAACTTGACAAGACTATTAAAAAAAAGAATGCGACAATACAAAATTATATCACATTTTCGTCACAGTTACCTGAAATACATGAGGTGAGGTAGTTTTAGGAGTGAACATTATTATATGTGCTATTACTATATTGTGATATGATTAATCCATACATCATTTTAGTTTCTGGAGAACACTGCAATATCTTTTGGTAAATCTGGTACTTTGACAAGTATTTTAGTCACGTTTGTTTTTAATAATTAAAAAAGACTAAAATTAATGTTTTTACTTTTTAATGTTCTTACTTGTAACAACAATTTATGATCTCAAAAACACATGCTCTAGGAATTGGTTCAACCACATAGTAGAATAATTATTCGTATTCGATGTTGTATATACTGAATAAAGCAATGGAAACTTTGACTGTGTAGTCGTACTTTACTAGTTTAGAAAACACATTCCCTGCAAACGGGGTTATACTTAAAAGAAGAGACCAGACGAGATCTATGATAAAAAATCTATTGTTGGATATGTTATTTCCACTCACGTTACTGGCATATATAGAGATATCCTCAATATTTTTCACAAAGATGTATGCTTGTCATCAGCTTCTGACTACGATGAAGCAAATATCTTTACCAAAGCTGTTATTATTTTAGAACACTACACACTGGACCACAATAGCCTAACTGACACAGTAAAATTGCTATGCTAAATACAAACAACAGCTACTCATTGTCAATTAATAAATCGAGGGAGCACCATTCCACGTGAACATGGGATTGTCTGTCCATAGCAAGACCGGCACTATGACTTCAGTGAAGTGCTTAATGAACAAGAAATAAAAGCAATTACAGTTTCTACAGAGAGAGGAGGAGACACAATTGCCACTAAGTATGAAAAGATGGCATAGTGTGTCCACCACTCCTGCATAGAGGGTTATTCATCACCTGTGTCATGGACAATATTTATAACGACCCAACATCAGCAACGGCAACAAACTTATTTCATTGAACCAGTATTTTAATTTTTCAGAATTGAACTTGGAGACGAGGAGTAAAGTACATAAGGTTTGAACAATCACCTTTTCCCTGATATTGAAGGTGCATGTCCAAGCAGTGACTTACCACGACTCAACCAGATTTCTGAGTAATAATAATAATAATAATAATTTTGTCATTGAAATTCTTTGTTTCAAATTCAACACATCCAAGTATTTTTCAATGGCTTGCAAAATATGAATGGTTGTAAAGATACCATCACAGATGATCCAGAGTTATGCAGGAACCAGAATCAGAATTGTAATTGCATATTACAGCATATGGCATGGTGGGCGTTTGTATAAATCCTTTGAAATTTGAGCAGTCTCTTTGATTGAAAAACCTCATTGACGGTGAGGAATATTACTTGCATAAAACATAAATTACAATTGGCCTCACTGTGATGACGCATGCATTGTGGAATACTAAAACAAGGACCAGAAGCATGTACACTACAAACACCATATGCTAATAACTTTAACGAGGTTATGACGTAGACATATCTCATGAATATTATTTTAAAGTTAAATTGTTATTATGGAACGCCGGAATCATGTATATTCGGTCTTACCCCCCCCCCCCACTCTGTCTATTGTGATACTATACATACTAAACTGGCACGAAATGTCACTGCTTTTTACACTGATCACTGGCATGAGCGTTGGCAAGCCTAAATAGGTTTTGACTGCATACAGCGCCACCAGTGGATGTTCCCGGTTCCATGCCCTTGATAGTGCAGTGAATCATCATCATCATATTATAATACAATATACTGGTATGCTGGATTAAATTCATTAGGTAAAATGTTAATACTTTACATAATAGATTATTTCAACAATCAATTGACCCTAAAAGACTTCTCACAAAGACTGTAATTGCTATAGCGTTAATGGACTTGATGCAAGCGCCGTTCCAATCAAATACCATCTCAGGCCACATAAACTTTGTGTAAACAAAAGGCTGCCTTTGCTACAATGTGGCGCGCCTTTAATTTCTTCATGTCAACTTCACATAAGCTTTGAATAAAATAAAACCTGTTGAATATTCAAACATATAAACATATTGTTTTGTTTCTTTCACAAACTAGTGAATTTAAAACCTATAGTGATATTCCTTCAATATCAAACCCGCTAAATTTAACCCAGCATATAGTCCACAGTATATACTGAATAGAATAAGTGAGTTTTGAGTTATGATTCAAAACAATCTGCAAAGATCATTATAAACATCAAATGCAAAGAAAATTCCCAGTCCGACGCGATCTCCATATTTGCAAAGCACTTGAAAGGGCGTATTGAATACTCAAAAATACTTTGACAACAGAGAATGGCATCTGACTGTCTAAACACGGAGAGATCATGATCACTTTTTCCGACACGAGTTTAATGTATAAAGTTATTTTGATATCACAAGTTGAACAGAATATTGTAAACAAATATATTGTCTCGCAACACTAGCGAGTATGAGACCTAGCTAAAGTGACACAAATGCAAAGGATGTGGAGTTGCCTTACACGTACCATTTTACGCAAATATGTCATTTGTCGGACTGAAAAATCAACATTACGGCTACATTGATGTATGTAAAGTAACTTAATAGAAATTTCATTGTTTAAAAACTTGTTTAACAAATTTTGCACAAAACTGTCTATCAGGACTTACTATATCATTTTGTGACAAATTAAAAATATTACAAAATATGGTACAAATATTACATTACTTGTAATGGTTTCCCATTTATGGAAGCAGCGTAGTGTTAACTGGCATTGATCCTGGGAGGGGTATTTGAATTGGAACTAGTACTCGGTAACACAAAACACGCATAATATGGGTGGTTTTGATAGTCACGCCTACACAAAACAAAACAAAATGATAAGATAAACAAAAAACAAAATAAAACAAGATAAACGCAAATAAAGGTTATTTATTCATTTTTTATCTATTAATTTTTTGTGTGAATCTCCCCAGGTATCCCACATGACGTTCAAAATTCCAGGGATTAACCTGGCAAATAAGGTTTGCTTTTGATTGTTTTTACTTGGAATGGGTTATTTTTACGTAAACGCATTAAATTTAGAGATTTTTTAACAAGCCATGTTTGAGCATGAGTATCCAGGCTCCAATTCGAGTGCGCCCCCTGGCGTATTAATATTCTTGTAAGAGTTACGTGTAAAATTACAAATTTTGCTTCTTTCAGTGTTGGATATAACAAAGATGACAGAGTCGTTTTGTTTTGATTATTTGATTTGTGGAAATGTAGACAGGTTACTATTGTTCACCGAGTACATATAAGACTATATGTGCGAAGACAACTTGAAGTAAACAGCTGTGTCACTATAACACAATAATGTATATTCTTGAAAGAAATGCGATTACAAGCAGTGCTATGATACGATTTCCGATTGTAAGCTGTTAAAATATTCACAGACTTCAACTGATTTAAAAGGTGAATATAATTAAAAATATAATCGAATGAATTAGAAGATCTAATTTATTGTGTAGTGTTCACGCTACACGGGCTAAGTACGATTTAAGCTGATCCCAATTGCGTTCACGCACGGGAGGAAACAGTAGTTAGCACGGGCTGAAGAACGTTTAATCTTGTTACGAATACTAGTACACAAAATCTTCAGTAACTATGATTACTTAGTACAGTAACTAGGAAGGTATACGTGTTAGTTCTACGGCGAATTCAGACATTTCAGAATAACAGGAAATAGCACGAAGTGTCATCGTCAGTTCATTTTTTCTCGAGAACAATGTCTCGTAATGTGCTCGCGTTGATTGTGACGTCGTAAATGGCATACCGAAATGAATAGTTATGAATATAATACTAGTAGTAAATCGAATACAGGGCGTGGTTCGTAATGTACCATATACTTGCAGGCATTCAATCTGGTGTACAGTTTCTAACAATCAGTGGAAGTGAGAAGATGAAAAATCAACGCTATCAAACTCACACTGGAAACATGATTATAATCGGATTCTTTGTGTTCACTATCTCAATTATTGCTGTAACACTTGGTATAATTTATGCAGTTGACATTAAAGAAGGTTGGTGTACATGAATATTTTTTTTGTTAATCTGTTAAACATGTTCCCAATTTATAACACATCCACCTTTTAAAATGAAAACGATCCTTCAAAACAAACAATTTGCCAAGAAATGTTACATTTTATGTCCACTAAATCAATGTGTTCTATAATTATTGGCATGCAACAAGAAAGGAACCGTTCGCAATAAACGACTTGCGTCCATGTCGATTATTATTATTATTCCGTGGGTTGATATGCCAACGAATATCGATGCATAAACAAATTACCTCCAACTTATGTACATTTATTCAATACAGTGTTTATATATAAGTAGTTTATTTAACTAGTTTGACAACCAATATTCTTGATAATAAATCCCTCCGGAATTCTCCAAAAAAAATAACCCTGTGGAATTTTGACGTGGTTGGTAAAAAGCATATGGTATAACCATGCCGTACATTCTGCATGGTGTATCTTTGTTCACCTACAATGCATTCATACTCACCTTGTACTTCCATCTTTAAACTATTGAGTGTAGTTGAGCAATGAATTAGATCACGAAATGTCTGGTTTGATACAAACCATTTGAATGTCTGTCATACATTGGGCAGTAGAAAGAGTTTTAGACTGAACAAGCCAGAATAGCGAATATACTTTAAACAGTATTCCGCTGAAAATAAATTACCCAAAATGTTGTTTCTCAAACTTTAAATAATTCGAAGTTACACATAATACAGAGCTCAATTTAGGATTTTCAACTCAAATCCGATTAAAATATTATTAAGCTATCTTTTCCTTTTTTATTCTTTTATTTTTTTTGCTTTGCTTTATTTAGGTTATATTTTTTTACATTTATTTTCTGAATGCTAGTTTTTAATTTTCTGACTGCGTAAGTGCAAAGACCTGAACAACCTCTATAAAAGATCTCGTTCGGGAGGTCTCAAATATAACAAGATTAGACAACCAATCAGAGAACGCCGTATAACCTGGTTATGCACCAAAGTCAAATCATTGCTGTATATATAGCCT